TCCTCTGCAGGCCTTTGTTGTACTGCGTGATGTACATTAGCTCTATTGTTTATAATACATTATGTATTTTAACAGTTTTGTTCAATAAAACCATATGATTTCTTGCTTTTGATACTTTATTTGAACTAATTATTATTGCCTCATTGCTATTATATATGTATTTTAAGTCATTTTAAAGGCTATTGTTCACTTACATCTATTTTTATTACCACACAAAAAATTTATTATAATTATAGGGACCTATGTTTTATTTCCAAATTCAGTTTTTTCCGTTTTCATTTCATTCTATACTCTGTTTTAATGGTTAAATTAAATTTTATTAATGAAAAAGCCTGTCTAATTAATTTAGTTTTACAGTTTTATCTTTACCAAATTCTGTTTTCCATTATTTTCTGGATTCCATTTTAATGGTTCCATTAAATTTTAATAATCAAAAGCATCTCCAATTAATTGATTTTATATAAAACAAATAATAATAATAAATCTTTTTTTCTTTTTCTTTTTTTTTCAGAAATACTGCACATTTACATTTTTCTCCTAAATAAATTCTGGTAAATAACATTTCTGGTAAATACTCCTTTAAAAAGTGTTTTTTTTATTATAATTTTATTATTAGTAGACTAGAACACGTGGATATGTTGTCATTCTTACACTATAATACTGAACTTTGATTTCAGTGATTTGGACTATGAGATGGACACTTGCTTCTTGCACTCTATGTTGCACTTTACTTTTGCTTTAAAAAAAGGATTTCATAGAAATTTGGATTTCATTTGGTTTAATAAAATATAGTTGAATAAAATATTCTTAAGTAAAACTGTTGATTTTTTTTTTGCGGGAAATTAATCGTTTAGATGAACCGATTAATCGATAAATTAGTCGATAGATTAATCGAAATAAAAATAGTCGTTAGTGGCTGCCCTAATGTAAAGTCACTTTTTTTTATTTTTAAATATTTAAAAGGTTCATTTATTCCTGTGATGGTAAAGCTGAATTTTCAGTATTATTACTCCAGTCTTTACTGTGACATGATTTGTGATTTTTTTTTTTCCAGAATGGCTTTATGAATAGAAAGTTTGTCAATTTTAAATAGATTTTTTGTGTATCAATGTAAAAGTCTATACTGCCACTTTTGATCAATTTAATGCATCCTTTATGAATAAAAATATTCATTTCTTGGAAAAGAAAAAAAAAACTTGCTGACCTCAAACTCTGGTATATAACTACGTTATATGTTATATGTACTGTATATAAATTTGTATGTTAATAAAATGTATATTAATTTAAAAAACCGCAATCGAGCCTCCTGATCAGTATCTAAATTAGGTAAAAGGGAGTTTGCCTATTAGAACAATTCAAGCTTAAATTGAGAAACTGAGCAACCAAAAATATTTGTCTGTTTCAATATAAAATCTTTAAGGTATTGTTTGTTTAAATCTGTTGCGAGGAATATTTGTCAGCACGTATCAATTTGATCATCATATCATTTAAATAATTTGATTATGTATTTTAATTGATTGATGGCAAAACACTTCATCTCCTGTCTCACATTCTTTTTCTCCCTTAGGTTCCCAGCAGTATGATGGACATGAGTGTATTGATGGCCTGTCAGTTCCTGCTCAAGCAGGTGTCCAACGAGGGCAACAATGCCCTTCTATCACAGCTGTACCAGTACCTGCTCTTTGACTTCAGAATCTGGAGCCACAGCCACTTTGCAGTCTGCCTGGGTAAACAACCAAAACACATCACAATAGCATTAGCCATTGCTTTTTTTGTTATTCAGCTCACATAGATTAAATGCAAATAATAACCAGGTCCTAAAGGAATAGTTTACCTGTATTTATGTTGGTTTGTAGGTCATGTGCAGTACCTTGCCACCATCATCAATGAAGGCAAGCTGAAGACTCGTAAGAGGTATGGTGTTCAGTATATCCTGGACTCGATTCGGACACACTACAGGTACGTTCAGAACTGAGAAGTACTATTATGATTTTGCTTGGAGATCTAAGAAAATGAAATATTTAGTGTGGATGAAAGATTTTTGTAAGTGTTCTTTTTGTGTCCACAGTGTGGAGAAGGATGGCAGTCCTCTGTCTGATGAGAGGCAGACGGTGCAGATCTCTCTTTTCGCTCTGCTGAAGGACCTTCTGAAATCTCCCACTGCTGAGGAGCTGCACAGTGTGCTATCCTACGCTGCTATAGTGCAGGACGAGCCACAGGTGACCCACACAAACACAAACTTGCTCTGTTCCAAAACCTAGTGTGTTCCTCCTGAGACCGAAAATGCATGCAGATAGCTATCGGTGATAAGACATTGGTAGGTTGAATTCCTGAATAGCGTAAACAGTGTCTTTTTGTGTCAGATCAGTGTTTCTTTGAGTATCCCAACCAGCCAGACACATTGACTCAACTACTGGTGTTATTTTGGGGTGGAACTACCTGTTTGCAATTCATTGTTATTCTATGTATTGCTCATAAATATTGAATGTTGTAATGCCAATTTCATCATTTTATGGGTTCATAAAAAAAAAAAAAGAGCGATTTCTTCGATTTCATAATCACGCGATTAAATCGTCTGCGATTATGAACGCGATTTTGTGTAGCTTGTCAGTGAACTACGGCTCTGTGTAGTAAATGCCGCTCCATCTGAACGCATGTGCTGGAGATTTACTACTTCTAGAACTAGATTTACTACTAACCACAGAACCCGCTTTACTGACCAGATGCGCATGACAATCGCATTCGATTAATCGTGCAGCCCTATTGCCGGCTGAAATTGTAAGTTGGGTTTGAAGGTGAAAAATTTCAGCCTGTTTTCTTACCATTCCAGATTCTAACACAAACCCACAATGTTTGACGTAGTTTTACAGCTATTAGAACAAAAATGAAAGTTGCTACTCCCCATATCATTTCAGTTGTTTCCTTTCACGTTCTTATGTAAATTGCACAAGCATATTTCGCAGTATTAGATCGAAAGACCAGAAGAGGCCCATACATAAACCCAGCTAGGGCTGCACAATAAATCGAAATGGAATCAAAATCGTGATTCGACAGAAGCTGCAATTGTCATGCGTATCTTTCAATGAAGCATGGTTCTGTGATCAGCAGTAAATCTCCATCCAAAGGCCAGAGGGCGCTCTCGTGCTGAAACTCCAAATACGCCTCGCAGAAGAAACCCAGGAAATGCCTATAGCGGTAGCTGGATAAACAGAAGATTTAACTGCTTTTATTGATTCAACGTGACTAATAAACACACGATTATGACAATATATGGTTTATCTGAGTTATTATTATTATAATTTTCATTAAAATAAAGTATATTTAAAATGCAATGCCTTTATCACTGCTTAAATACTATGAAATATGTTGCGTGCCTTATTCTGTGTAAGAAGCCACATCATCTCACAGAAGGATTTATTTCAAACACTCGACTGATGTTATGAAGTGAGTTTGGAGTAAAAATATGTTATTAAATGTGGTATTTTCACATGCTTTCAGATGGAGCATCATTTACTACACAGAGCCGTAGTTCACTGAGAAGCTATGCAAACAGCTGTCATTATCGCGAACAATTTCTTCTATTTCATAATCGCGCAATAAAATGCGATTTTTTTTGCGTAACTTGTCAGTGAACTACGGCTCTGTGTAGTAAATGCTGCTCCATCTGAAAGCACGTGATGATGATTTACTGCTGATTAGAGAACCGGCTTTACTAACAAAATGAGCATGACAATCGCATTCGATTAATCATGCAGCCCTAAACCCAGCCATAGACTCTCCCCTCAAAGAAATCAGGAAAGTGGCCAAAAGTGGGCAAAAGAGAGACTAAAACAGCAGGTGTAAATGGGAATGTGTCTCCATTGTCTACTTGTGATCTGATCGGCCAAAGTGCATCTTAATACCAGGTGTATTAACTGAATTTATTTACTGAACCTTTTAAAAATTTGTTTATAATAAAATTGTAATTTAATTTTTAATTAATTAATTGATACTTTTTTGAAGGAACCTTTTTCAGTCCATGTGTTGTTTCTTATTATGGTGATATTCTGGTAGGGCTAGAGCTCGCTAATTGCTGACCAAATGTTCTCCTTCTCTGTAGGTGATCAGTATTCTGGATGTGTTACACACTGTATTGAGGAGTTCTCCATCTCCACGTGAGCAGGCTGTGACGGTTCTTCTGGAGCGAGGGGTGGAGCAGCTCTACTGTCTGCTGCTTAAAACCAACTATGGAGACGAGGCTCGTGAGAGAGTTTTCAGGGTGAGAATAAGCTTGTACTTTAAATGATGGCATTGCAGTAAGGCATGTATTGAGATGACCTTTTGAAACCAAAAACGATTAGATCAGGATCTTTCAGAGTGATATGAGCACATGTTCTGCTGCAGGTCTTGTATAAAGTCCTGAAGAGTGAACGTATACCTGAACGCAGTAAAATGCGCATCAAGCTCAAGGACTCTGGCTACCTTGGGCTGGTCTGCTCCTTTGGTGACGTCCCCATCACAATGGTGACTGTACGCTGTCTGTATGAGCAGGTGCTCGCCACAGGTAAACTGAAGAAAAGGTGGATGGCAGTTTTCAACTCTACACTTCAGGTGTTGATTGGTCTGTTTTGTTGTTTATTTGGTGCAGATCCCACTCCTAATTTTAGAGACCTGTTGGCAGTGGCATACCTGTCCCATCGTGCTGACCTCAGCGTCCGACTAGATATCTGTCGTAAGGTGAGTGACTGATGGAAAAACTGATGAAAAACCAGCCTAAGATGGTTGGCTGGCTTTACCTGGTCTTCCAGCCTGGTCATAGCTGGTTTAGCAGACTTGTTTTAGAGGGGTTTTGACCACTTCTTTATCTGGTAAGTCTGGTCTTAGCTGGCCAGGTTGTGAGACCAGCTAAAACCAGATGAGTACTAGCTTGGCAGGGCTGGAAGACCAGCTTGATCGGGTTAAACCAGATAAATCCAGCTAAGACTAGCCAACCAGCTTCAACCAGTATTAATGATAAGCTTATTTTATGGGGTGTTGGACTTTGAAAACACAGTTTTTTCAGTTAGACTTTGGTTAGCAAAGTTGCTAAGAGCTAGCATAATGCTAACTGGTTGGAATGACTTTTGCATAGCTAAGCTATCAAGATAACAAGCTATGTTTTTGATCATGCATTACAAATGTATACAAAAAGGGATAAGATTGTGTTTTCAGTTAGCCTATGGCTAGCAAGCTTGCTAACAGTTTAGCGTACTGCCTTCACATAGCATTAAATGTGCCCTTTAGGTAGAGTCAGAAATATAACAATTACGAGCCTACATGAATCATACTTCTGATTGGAAAACGCAAGATTCTAGATCATACACAAGTTATCTAATTGTGACGTTGGATAGGGATGTGTCAATTTAGCGGAAACACTGATCTATAATATAGATGAATTACTCACTAAACAAACAATTCACTCACCGGTTACAGATTTGAATTAGTCTGATGAATCCTTCACTAATGAATCACTGTATCCATCATTTTTAAAGAGTCTTTACTGATTCAGCAGCTGACTCACTCAGGTTCAAATCATATCGGGTTCACATGTCCAAACAAAAGCCAATCTCCCATTTGACCCATTCAACCCATTTGACATTATAAGTTTCACTTGCTTTACCTCAAAATACAGTCCATCTGACATTCACTTGCAAAATGCAACACAATGATAGAGCATTTAAAAAAACTTTGAAGCAAAACAAAACCCATTTCTAAGCATACATGTTTTGAATGGTATGTTCTTGACTAAATAATTATTAAATTAGTAAATTAACATTTCTCTCTCCCTCTTTCATCCCTGTAGCTCTTCCACTTGATCTACTCCAATGAAGAGTATGTGAAGCAGCTCGCTCGTCAGTCAGGCTGGCAGGATGTTCTCACCAAACTCTACATCAAAGAATCGTACGAGTCTCGCGTTCTCAGCCAATCCAATTCTTTGTCCAGCCCCACCAACTCGCTGGACCCCGTTCTTTCCAGACGCGTCTTCCATCGTGAGGACAGCGTAATGGAGGACACTCGGCAGAACGTCTACATTTCCCTCACTGCCCGCCACGAAGAGGAGTACGAGGAGGAAGAAGCTCAGGATGCGTCTGAGGGCTACTCTGACCTCTCCCAGTCTCCCCCGTCAACCGGACAACTCAAGAGCGATTCCTTGCACTTCAAGCCATTTGACTCCGGAGAACAAAGCAGTCATTCGTCCACCCTGTCCAACACTTTGGACATTCCATCGTCGTCCCGTTTGCTGGAAGAAGAGGAAATCGTGTACCAGCCACTCTCACCCTTCAGCTCAGCCTTTGAGCTGGAACTAAGCCTTCAAAAAGGACCCCAGACACCTGTGGGTAGCCAGCCAGAGACCCCCTCTCCTCTGGAGCACAGTAAGAGCTTCCCAGGCATGAGGCCACGCAAGAGCTCCAGTCTGTCCAACGTTCTGGACAACACAAGCTACAGCACCGAACCTCCTACAGACACCATCTCCAACACATCCAACCCACAGGTACATGCTGAACTGGGGGTGGGCGATATGACCAAAATCTTATTGCTCACGATATGACCAATTTTATTTCACGATAATGATATATATCACAATATAGTTATATTTGCTTTGAATAAGGTCTTTATGATATCAAAATTTTGATACCATAGAAATTTTCAAATTCTTGTCACTAGTGTTAATTTCACAAAAAAACTAATAAATAGCCTAAATAAAAAAAAAACTCAAGCTCACTGAAGACAAGTAAACAGTCAGCGATTAAATAAGAATAAGAAACTAATTACAGAAATGCTACACACGTTGTATAAAGTAATCAAATGTATAAAATACTACATATTCTTCGCTGTGTAAATTAAATATATATTTCTTCTTATTAAAGCTACAAAAGTGATTTAGTCAAGAGCAGTGAGAAATTTTCTCTCTTTTGTTGTTTGAGTAACATGAATGACAGACAGCAGGAATATTAAACTGCTGTCACTTTAAGAGCTGCCCAGATCCGATATACAGGTGTTTTCTTTCTCAGCTGTTTGCTTCAAAATTACTGTTTACACAGGCATACTTGCAAAGACGGCATTTTGACACATACAAGTGTGTGTATTAAACCATATAATTCACAGCAAAAATAAATATAAGTAACGTTCAATACCCCCTCGCACATTGAGCACCATCTACACGCATATAGCGTAACGAGTTTTCTTTTGCTGCTGATTGTGTTTCAAGGCATAACATCACTTGTTTTTAAACCGCAATGCTTAAAAACGTGTGCAAACGATGTTTTCATGACCACGTAGCACAGCAATGTCACGTGAGCATGTAACCGCCATAGAGACGACAGAGTCCAAAATCTCCCCCGGTTGACACATTTCTACCGGTTAATCGTGCTGAACACTTGCTTACTTGTTGTCACTCACTCATTCGGTGGATTGTATTAGTAAAGTAATGTAGAGAATGGTAAATATAAAAGTTGAGGGGGTGATTGCAGAATGCAGCTCCTGAGACAAGATAACTACAGGCACAGCAGACTGAGGGTGTAATTAAAGACAAATTGAGAAGCAAGGTAAATTAATAAAATATTATCTAAGAAGCTCTATGGACAGTTTTATAAAGAATATACATTCCTCTAATATATATATATATATATATATATTTTAAAAAAAAAATCCTTATCTAGTAAATCGCAAACAGCTGGAAAGGGGGCCCTCAAAAATTGTGTATTACTTTAATAACTTTGTTAGCTGAAAACTTGCCCCTCTATCTCCCCCATTAGGCTCCCGAGGAGGAGTTGTGTAATTTGCTGACGAACATCGTATTCTCTGTGCTGTGGAGCGGCACTGAGGGGTCTGAGGATGTGATATGGAGAGAAAGGGGTCAGGTGTTCTCTGTCCTCACCAAGCTTGGCTCATCCTGTCAGCTGGTGCGGCCACCTGATGACATCAAACGCAGGTCAGAAGCTTAAAACTTTAATGCTTTAAAACTTACTGATTCAGATATAATGACAGCTCATAAAAAATTGAGAAAGAAGGCACTGCATTAACAATTCCTCTGTCCCCGAGTAATAAAATGAAGACTGACATCTTTTCAGACAGATTGAACTTTGAAGATTAACTTTTTGGAATTGGATGAACCTTGAACAATCTCCTAACCCACCTGAAGTATTTAAATGCGTAGGAGAAGTGCCAGTGACTTTAAAGTTTCAATGAAATAGAGGAAAATGGGCATCTTTCTATTTTGGGACCTGTAAAGCTTATTTTAAGTTGTAAATGACCTCCATTATGAGAAAACCTACTGCATTTGAAATCCAGTCGAGATCAGTGAGCTGAGACTGAAGGGAGGTGCGTTACATGAAAGTGTTCTCTGGATTCCTTTGGTTCAGATGAGGGCAGGGTGGGGATCTCTGGAGGGCAGATGTTCTTTGTGCTACAGGGCTGTTGCTTTTCTTTGGTGTGGCTCCAGCATTGCATCACCATAGAGCTTGTTTGTTCTTTAAGTCTTAGGGTGTGTCTGTCTGATGACTTGTTCAAGACATTGAGTATTATAAGCTGGTGGGAATGTTACAGATGCATTATGTGTATGTTGTAGTCTGTTGGAGATGATGCTGGAGTCGTCTCTGTCAGATTTGAGGGACTCTCAGGGCGTGTCTCTACCCCATGTGCCTTCTTTGCTCCGCCTCCTCAGACTGCTTCAGGACTTCCTGTTCGCCGAGGGCACTGACAATCAAACACTATGGAGTGAGAAGGTGGGGAATGGATGGATATGTTCTCACTCTGATATTAGAACTCACACACTCTTATTTCAAAGCCAGAAGAGTTTGAAACAGGAAGTTGAAAGAAATCCACGTTTAGGATATTAGGCTGTGCATGCAAATCTAATTAGATTTTTTTTCATATGTTAGAAACAGACCTAGAAAATATTGCACACTCCACATCCCAAATTATGAAATGAATAAATAAATAAACCCGACCTGAAATCTGATCTGACTCTCGAGTCCTCTGATGCAGAATCAAAACAACATATGATTTGAATCATATTTCAATCATTTCAATGTTGTTGTTGTTTAAGCAAAACTAAACATAAAATTGCTGTTGCATAAATTACTGTTCAAATGTTTGGGGTTAGTTAGATTTTTAATATTTTTGAAAGACGTCTCTTATGCTCACCAAGACTGAGCTTAATTGATAAATTAATATAATAATATTGTGAAATATTATTACAATTTGAAATAACTTTTTTATATTTGAATATTAATGTATATTAATTTTCTATTTGAATATAAATGTAATGTATGCCTGTGATGGCAAAGCTGAATTGTCATCATGTGTATTAGTAACATGATCCTTCCTGGAATCATTATAATATGCTAAGTTGGTGCATAAGAAACATTCTTATTATTATCATTGATGAACATAGTTGTGATGTTTGTTTTTTTGTTTGTTTTTTTGTTCAGAAACCATGGTCATTTTAAACCTTTTGTAACATTATAAATGTATTTACCCTCATATTTGATCAATTTAATGAATCCTTGCTGAATGGAAATATTAAGTTATAAATTAGCACATTGTACCCTAGTATATAACATACAAATTCATAACTATAAGGATAAGTCTCTCAAACATAGAAACTGATATGTACTGTTTGTACATACAGTATATGTAATATTGGTTTTAATAAGTAATACAAATTCTTATTTAGGGAAACTTTATTCTGATGTTTTATTGAATACAATATGTTTATTTGTGAATGAGTATAAGAGTGTGTCTATATTTGGGGCAGATTTTTGAGGGGGTGGTGAATCTGTTGGACAGGCTGCAGGCATGGCACACGACCCCTGGGTCAGCGGGGGCCGCTGAGCTCAAAGAGATGTCTCTGATCGGCCTGCGTATCATCACTGGATACATTCAGCAGCAGCAGAACCCACAGGTACACACATATACACCCGTCTTAATAAGAATTCCAGAGTTGTGTTTTCAATTTCTTGCTCTTTGACATTTACAAATGTGTTTTTATTCGCTGATTATGTGGGATGGACTGAACAATTATTATGACAGTTTCAAACAAAACTAAAAATCACTCATGGTGGACGCTAGGTATACTTCCCTTCTACAGGTGGAGCGTTGAACATACGCACACAGTTGTGTTCAGGATTATTAGATATGCCTTTGGGCTATAAAGAGCTTTTTCTGTAAACAGCTTCAGTTCATTCCATTGGAGAGTAGATGTCCATATATGGGTATATGTGGGGTTTTTTATCGTTCTCCTCCAGGCTCACTCAAACCCATCCCACACTCAAATGAGATCATATCAACTGACTGAAGAACTGACTTACTGCGAGGCAGTCTGGGAAAACATGCGCCTGCCTCAAGACTCTTTACAATGTGTTGTTCATAAGCATGTTTGTTTCCTATTGCAAGGTATAGGAAGCACTAAGCTTGTAATTATATTCTTTAGTATAAACTGCTGTAAAGTTCAATTGTAGTTTGGAAAAAAGACTCTTAAATTACAAACAGTTATCTGACAAATATTTCTTACTGGCCACTGAACTTTTTCTATGCATGTTAATTTAAAAAATGAATTGTTTAGCTAATACATACAGTAAATACATTGGGTATTAGGCAAGTGTTAATTTTTACCTTAAAGGGGTCCTATTATGCTCTTTTACAAAGTCTTGATTTTGTTTTGGGGGTGTACTAGAACAAGCTCTCATACTAGGTTGTTCGAAAAAACACATAATTTTTCACATATTTTACATTATTACTACACCTCTATCCCCAGTCTGGCATGAACGGCTCGAATAGTTCCTGTATCAAATGAAGGCCCGCCTTCTGAAATACGAAATGTGCTGTGATTGGTTAGCTGGGCCAGTGTGTGTTGTGATTGGCAGCACTCGGCGCCTGGTCGGGAAACGTCATGCCCCTTACCATAGCCACCTGCTGCGAGCTTCAGTGTAAATATTGCGTCAAAATCAAATCAATTTGAGTGCGATTTAAACCCGGATGATTGTAAACACTCTAACTTCGTCTGCTTTGGGAAAGCTAGCGTGTCTCCGTCATAGTGACAACACTCGTTGCCTTCTCTAGTGCAGCTCAACCAGGTCTCGTCCCATTCGTCGATATTTGTGATATCACAAATCCCGGAAAATATGCGTTGTAGTCCAAACGAGTCGTTCGTTGTAGTTTTTGAAAAGTGATTTCTGTTAAATAAAATAAAATATCTCCTTTTGAAGTGGACTTTGAGCTTTGTAACTTTGCAGATCTTTTTTATGCTCAAACAGCAACATTACAGACTAACTAAAGTTGAAAAAGTCAAAAAGCATAATGGGACCCCTTTAAGGTTTGACATGACTTTAATATTCATAGAAATTCTGAGTTGGATCAAATAATTAACCTAAATGCATCCTTAAAACCATAAATGAAAGTGAGCTCGTAAAAACGAGCTGCTGTGCTCACAGGAACTCTATAATAAGCATGGATAAACAAGTGCCACTCAGAGTGAAAGCCTTGTTTCAGAAATAGCCCTAGACAAAGACAAGAGGCAGACAGGAGTAGATGAACAAGACTAACAAGTGGACACGACACAAGTGTGCATGACCAATAGGAGAAAACCTTTTTTTAACATGATTTTGAACACTGAATTCAAAGGAATAATAGCTTACTGCATCCTGTGCACTATATAAAAAAGTAAAAAAAAAAAAAAAAAAATGTTTAGTCCAGTCCAGTAGTTAGGCAATTATTCTATTAATGTAGTATATTTTTATAGTATATCATATACTGCATCGGGTAAAACTATTAAAATAGCTTTTGTTTTTTTAAATATAACTGAAACAAAATAAAATGTAAATATTAGTTAAAAACAAACTTAACCAGAAATTAGAAATGTTGCCTTGACAACTAACTGAAGTAAAATAATTTTGAAATACTAAAATTACTCAATCTAAAACAGAAATAAAATTTAATTCAAGCAGAGTAGAAGTAAAAAAAGTTATACAAAAAGAAAAAGAAAATTGAAAAAAGCACATAATTAATAAGTACTATGATAATAGTAGTAATGTATAATACTAAAATAACACTGATGTATCACACTAAAAATGTTTACTATAAACTGTAAGTATAGTATATAGTACATATACTGTATCCATTCAAATGTTTTTATTATGTACTGTGCAGTATGTAGTCAACATTAAGCTATTATTCAATTGGTATACTATACTATTTTATACTTACAATATATATAATATAGTACAACACTATAATTTCTGTTCTATGTCTGTACATCTTCACATTAAAACCATTGTATGAACACTTTAAAAAAAAAAATTTTAGTTATAATTAAGTATTATTGGAGTATGTTTTACAAGAAAATAACATTTTAATTGTTTGTGAAATTTACTTACAGTTTCTGTAATGTTTCGGTGTAGTACATACTTTACTATAGTATTTTCTATATATCACATAAAAATGATGGTATAGTATATACTGCATGAATACAGTAATACATAATATGATTGTGTGCTGTTCTAAACATATTCAAATATCAATACACATATCAGAATAAAAAAGGGGAGACACAAATAACACAAAAACCATGACAGCAACATGTATTTGTTTTTGTTTTTTCCTCAGGTGTGTGAGATGGCGTGTTTGAAGCTTCATAGCCTGCTGCAAACTGTGTTATGTCTGTCCTGGGAGGAGGTGTGTTTTCTTCTGGGTCGTCTCGGTGCACCACTTTGGCCTGCAAACTGTGGCTCCGACCCGGGCGCCGAGGCTTTGCTGAGCCCTCTGGTGCCCATCGTCCGAGCGCTTCTGGATCAGCATGCGGATCGAACCACCCTTCAGAAGATGCTCCCCAACCTGCCCGCCACCAACGGCAGCCCCTCCTTCGCCCAGGATCTCCAGAACTACTGCAGCACCGCTGAGTGGCAGCAGTTCCACCAGAACCACGTCAGTACACACACACACACACGCTTCACTTAGCAGACACCCGGTTAGACTGTTTACCTTACGATAAGCTGGCAGCTTCCCTGCCGCAGTCTTGTCAGTATATGTTACCACAAACCTGTTTTGTTTTACCTTTTTTGGATGCAGAATGTCAGAAATAAGTCTCTCAGCACTCCTTCTCAGTCAAACAGGAGATAAGCTCATCATTTCACACAAAGCTCAATCCTAAAGGATTATACACACATTTTTCTTTGAAACAACCCATTCTCTTATTTACATCTGTAGCATACTATATATAATCATCTTGGATTCATTTAGGTTTAGCTAAAGCTGATTTCAGCAGTGGTCCAGCATCAGAGCTGTAGTCTTCGCTCTCTAAAACTCAGCGGACGTGTGTTTGTTTTAGCGTGAGGGCACTTTGACAGTTAATCCGCTTCCATTGTAGTGATGAACTCTTTATTTAGACTCTTTTGTTCCTCCAGTGCCAAAACAAGATAGAAAAAATGCTGAGTTATTCCCCTCATCTCACAAATCCAAAACAAGCCATGCGTTTAAATTAAACAGACATCATGCCAGAGTGACCTGGAGATGATTTATGAAGGCTGGCGTGTGAGAGCATGTGCTTATAAATCTAACCTGTTTGGACTGTTCGTATATATAAAATCACACGGTATATTACCATGCCTTGAATCGGGAAGTAAACCAGGTTTTGCACTATGCCCAAGCATATATCTGGGTGCAGGGAGGTGAAGAGAAAGAAAAGAAAGTGTGTATTTTATATGTTCAGCATTACAATATAACATGTGTACTAACTTTGTAAAAGGTTGATAGAGTACATATAATAGGCTACATTTTCAGTGTAAATGAAAGCAGCAAAATGTCAACAACAGCAATATGATCAGACACATCAGCAGTCCTATTTTAGTATTATTATAAATGTATACAATGTATTTTAAAGTATTAATTATTTTAATAGTTGTAAATTGTATACATTTATAATATGATTAAAATATTTATTTTATGCAAATTATTGTATGCATTAATGTATGTAATTATATTATATTATTTTTACTTTTTATAAATTAATAAATTCAAATACATGTACACTTATAAAATAATTAATTATTTAATGCACTATTGCTATATTATTTTTCATTTTAACAATTTTAATAATTGTAAATAGTTTGTTTACATTCATAATATAATTCAAATAATTATTTTACACTTTAATTTATGCAATTTATTATATTATATTATATTATATTATATTGCAAACAATTCTAAAAAAAAAAAA